CCCCTGGCGCCCGGGGGCAGGCCCCGGGAAGCCGCCAGCCTGGTACCGGGAAGAGGGGGAGGGCTGGGGGGCATCGGGTGGCTGGCTCAAGCTGTGCCAGGTGCAGGGTCTGCTGGCTGGGTGCTGGCAGGCTTGCACCTGGCATGGGCATTGTAGCCAGCCCGTGCCCCTTTAAGGGCTCCGGGGCCGGGAGGGGGGCATACGAGTTTCCCTGGTGGTGCCCAGAGTGGCCACCAGGGAAAGCTGGGGAGGGCTAGCCTCCCACTAGTTCGAATTAAGGGGCTACACAGCCCTTAATTCGAACTAGTAAGTTCAAACTAGGCTTAGTCCTCGTGCAATGAGGTTTACCTAATTCGAACTAAGCGCTCCGCTAGTTCGAATTAAGTTCGAATTAGCGGAGCGCTAGTGTAGCGCCTATGAAAGTTAATTCAAACTAAGGTCCGTTAGTTCAAATTAACTTTGTAGTGTAGACATACCCAGGCAGAGTAATGTGTCAGGAATGTTCGTTCAATGGCTATGCTAATTAGCGAGGCTCCAGGGACAATGGATCTTTAGGTGCCAAAGACACACCTGAGGAATGAATCTGGATGCCTGCAGACCAGCCATAATAATGATTGCTGGCTTGGGATGCAAGAAGAGGTCACTGGGCCATGTGACCCACTCCAGCATGGAAGAGACCAGGGGATGGATATAAAATGCCATGTGGCAGACTCCATTTGCTCTTGAGTTCAGCTCCTGATCCCAGATACAGCCTTGCAGGGAACAACGAGCTGGGAAGAACTGTGGACCCATCCTGACAAAGGATGTACACCAGAGACTTTTAAGATGAGAGGAAAGTGATTAGGAATAGTCAGCATGGATTCACAAAGGGCAAGTCGTGCCTGACCAATCTGATTAGCTTCTATGATGAGGTAACTGGCTCGGTGGACATGGGAAAGTCAGTGGATGTTTTATACCTTGACTTTAGCAAGGCTTTTGATACGGTCTCCCACAATATTCTTGCCAGCAAGTTAAGGGATTGTGGATTGGATAAATGGACGGTAAGATGGATAGAAAGATGGCTAGAAGGCCGGGCCCAGCGGGTAGTGATCAATGGCTCGATGTCAGGATGGCGGTGAGTTTCTAGCAGAGTGCCCCAAGGTCCGGTTCTAGGACCGGTTTTGTTCAATATCTTTATTAATAATCTGGATGAGGGGATGGATTGCACCCTCAGCAAGTTTGCGGATGACACTAAGCTGGGGGGAGCGGTAGATACACTTAAGGGCAGAGATAGGGTACAGAATGACTTAGACAAATTGGAGGATTGGGCCACAAGAAATTTGATGAGGTTCAACAAGGACAAGTGTAGAGTCCTGCACTTGGGACGGAAGAATCCCAAGCATAGTTACAAGCTGGGGACCAACCGGTTAAGTAGTAGTTCTGCAGAAAAGGACCTGGGGGTTACAGTGGATGAGAAGCTAGATATGAGTCAACAGTGTGCCCTTGTAGCCAAGAAGGCTAATGGCATATTAGGTTGCATTAAGAGGAGCATTGCCAGCAGATCCAGAGATGTCATCATGCCCCTTTATTCGGCTTTGGTGAGGCCGCATCTGGAGTATTGTGTCCAGTTCTGGGCCCCCACTACAAAAAGGATGTGGACGCATTGGAGAGGGTCCAGCGGAGGGCAACCAAAATGATTAGGGGGCTGGAGCATATGACTTATGAAGAGAGGCTGAGGGACTTGGGTCTGTTTAGTCTGCAGAAGCGAAGAGTGAGGGGGGATTTGATAGCAGCCTTCAACTTCCTGAAGGGAGGTTCCAAAGAGGATGGAGAGAGGCTGTTCTCAGTAGTGACAGATGGCAGAACAAGGAGCAATGGTCTCAAGTTGTGGTGGGAGAGGTCCAGGTTGGATATTAAGAAAAACTATTTCACTAGGAGGGTGGTGAAGCACTGGAATGGGTTGCCTGGGGAAGTAGTGGAGTCTCCATCCCTAGAGGTGTTTAAGTCCCGGCTTGACAAAGCCCTGGCCGGGTTTATTTAGTTGGAATTGGTCCTGCCTAGAGCAGGGGGCTGGACTTGATGACCTTCTGAGGTCTCTTCCAGTTCTATGATTCTAAGATAGCAGTTGTAACATCTCTGCTAAGAGCCTGCATTGAGAACTTAGTGATTCGATGCATATAATGTATTCTCCTTAACAACCTTGCTGCCATGCTTTTCTTTCTTTTATTAATAAACCTTTAGATTCTAAAGGATTGGCTCAGCATTGTCTTGTGGGTAAGATTCAGAGTGTAAATTGACTGGAACCAGTGGCTGGCTTCTTGGGACCGGAAGAACCTATTCGGAGTAGGTGAGATTGGGTTCTAAAAGCCCTCACTTGCTTGTTAAGCCCAGGGCTGATTGGGGCACAGGAAGAGCTGGGGTTATCAGAGGGGTTTTGCTCATGAGGTTTCTGGCTGGCCAGATTGGCAACTGAAGCGCTCGGTGTAACTGGTTTGTGGCCTATTTGGGAAGGTCTCCAGTCTGGGGCTGGAAGGAGCCCCAAGTTTGAGCAATTCGCCCTGAGCGGACGCCCTCAGCTCTTCCCAGACCGGGTCCGATCCATCACAGCTTGCTTCAGAGTGTACTCACAGTGGCAGAGGACTCAATTTCTGCATCAGTTCCATCCCCCGACAGCTCCTGCAGAACAGTGTTTGCTAACCCTGATAAGCGGCTCAGCATCTCACACCTGTAGCAAAACACCATAAAAAGAAACATAACTATAGGTCAAAGGCAAAGGAGAGGGGAAAACGTGCATCTTCCTGATCTCCAGTACAATGCAAAGAAGAAAATTTCTTCCCTACTGATAAAGGAGAAGCCATCGTAAAATCCAAGCAGCAAATAACAGTTATGCTTCAGCTAAGAGGATAATTCAGACCCTGGCTATAAAAGAAGGGGAATACAGAGTAGAAGTAGGGAAATATTCGTTCCAATATATAACAAATTTTTAAAAAAAATGACCTATAAGAATGTGATATCTGGGAAACCAAACCTGCAGGAGAGATAAAATACGTTCAGGGTAAGTCCATATTGTAAGTGCTTTAGCTGCAATGCTGCAGCTGTGCCACTGTAGTTCTATAGTACAGATTCTTGCTTCAGTGGCATAAGCGATGTCTCCATCACTGTAGAAAATCTATATCCTTGAGATCCTTGACTAAGCCTCAATTGGAGTATTGTGTTCAGTTCTGGGCACCACAAAAACTGGAGAAGGTCCAGAGAAGAGGAATAAGAACAATTAAAGGCCTAGAGAACATAATCTATGAGAGAAGACTGAAAGAATTAGGCTTGTTCAATTTGGAAAGAAGACGACTAAGGTAGGGTATGAGAGCAGTTTTCAAGTATCTAAAAGGGTGTCACAAGGAGGGAGAAAAATTGTTCTCCCTGGCCTCTGAGGATAGGAGAAGCAGCATTGGGCTTACACTGCAGAAAGGCAGGTTTAGGTTGGACATTACGAGAAACTTCCTAAGTGTCAGGGTGGTAACACTGCAATAAATTGCCTAGGGAGGTTGTGGAATCTCCAACTCTGGAATTATTTAAGAGCAGGTTAGATAGACATCTATCAGGGATGGTCTAGACCAGTGGTCTCCAACCTTTTTATGCCCAAGATCACTTTTTAAATCTCAGAACAGGCGAAGATCTACCACCCAGCCCCTTCCTTGAAGCCCCGCCCTCTCTATTCTCCTCCTGTCCATCACTTGCTATCCCCAGGCCTTACTTACACACTCTGATAAACAATTTATTTTTAAATTATGCGATGTATAAAATTAAAATCACATGTTTATAGTTATGAAATAAATGGTCTGTTTTTTATTCATGGTATTTAAATCTAAAATGAAGCATTTATAATTATACATTTTGTGGGGACAGTTCTGCGGCTGGGGGCAGGGGAGAGGGAACAGAGTGCTAGGAAGGCAGAGGACAGGATTCTGCAGCTGGGGACAGGGTGCCAGTGGGGACAGAGTTCTGTAACTGGAGACAGGGGGAGTGGGGACTGGAATGGGGGACAGAGTTCTGTATTTGATTCAGCAAAGCATTTAAAAATCACACTGGCTATGACTACACTGACTCAACCCATGGCTAGTCCATTTCATCTGCCATAGGCTAAGAGGTTGTTTAACTGCATTGTAGATGTTCTAACTAAGGCTGGAGTGCAAGCTTTGGCATCCTTACCATCACAGAATCCCAGAGGTTAGTTCCAGCCCTACTCTCAACTGACAAGGGCCAGCCAAGGAGATTTAATAGACACACCATTTGGGTGAAATCTGGAGTCCACTGAAATCAATGAGAGTTTTGCCTTTGATTTTAGAGGAGCCAGGATATCATGCACAGACTTTAAAAGGACTTCTTAAATGTGCTTAGGTCCATTCCTATTCAACATAGCACATAATCACATGCTTACAGATAAATACACACTCACGTGGTTTGCTGAATTAAGGCCAGTAAGCACTTAATTTAATAAACAACTGATTTTTTCTAGTGCTTAGTGTGAATAAAGCTTTTTATTTGCTTGTATTCTTTGGTTCCACAAAGTCCCGTGGCGCAGCCTGGCCAAGCCAGCCCCCTCCCACAGTGCGGCCAACCCCCGCGGGTGCCTGCCCCAGGGCCAAACCCTCACGGGCACCTGCCCCGGGGCCAAACCCCGGTGCTGATCTCTGCTCCCGCGACACAGGGAAATCCCTGCACTCATCTCACCCCTCCCAGGGAAGCCGCCAGACTCCTCTTCTGGAGCCGACACCCCCTCCCTCAGCACGTGACAGAGTTGTGGGAGGGGAGCAGCCTGTGCACTTCCGGAGCCCCTGGAAGTGATGCAGGCTTCACTCAGGACTTGCGTCCACCCGCGGGAAGCCGGCGCTACACTAGAGGTAGGTAGTGGGGCTTCTCGGGCGTGGGGGGAAATGGGGTGCCCGAACGCCTCGCAATCGACGGGTTGGTGAGCACGGGTCTAGATGGTGCTTGGTCCTGCCGCGAGCACAAGGGACTGGACTCGATGACCTCTCTAGGTCCCTTCCAGTTCTAGTATTCTATGATTCTATGACAGTATCTAGGTCAAAATAGAGGCCAGCTCTTCCATTAAGTGTAACCAGACCTCAGTCCATCCAAAAGAAGGTAACTATCCACTCAAGGGGACTATTTGATAGCAAAAAGCTCTTTAATCTTAGTATAAAAAGGCAGAAAAAGATCCAATGGCCAGAAGCTGGCTACAGCAATCCACACATTTCATAGCCTCCAGGCTTGTGATCTCCAAGAAAAACCCTGAAAAAACCTCCACCTAATACTAATATAGCAGCATGCAAATTTAGTGACTGAGATTGCTAAGAACATGTTACCTAAGTGTTCTGACTTTTACACCGACAGCTCCAGTAAGAACTGGTTATTTCCCCACATTGAGAACGAGGATACTAACATGCTGCATCATTCTTATAGCCTGTATAATATCCATGACTTCCAATCATCTGTCTCTGAATAGGATAAAATATCATGTGCATCATATTTTGGTCACAGAACACAACAGACCATCAATAGTAGGAAAGGCCACACCAAATACCCACCTCTTCAATGCACTGTACAGCTCAGAATTCTTCTTAGTTCAGAATTAGGGCGGTCCTCACAGCAGAACTGGTGGCCATATGCAACTTCCTTCAATAGATCTATTGGCCATGCAGCAGCAGGGTATCAAGCCTCAAGAAACCTGGGGAAAAAAAAGTGGGTAAACAGTTTATCCAGCCCACGGAGAGTGCACGTAAATTCCCTTCCGGTCACATCCTCTCATTTGCACTGGACATCAGAAGTCATTCTCTTGCCTGCTCATTGGACTTGATTTTTCCTGCATTTTCTGGGAGCTCTCCCAGCATCTGTCACTATATGGCAGGGGTTCTCAGAATGGCAAACAGAATTAAATGCTTTGGAACCAAGCAGCAGAGGGAGGGAACCCAGGGCAATGACGCAGGTCCCAAGAAATTAGGAAAATATATAGGAAAGGACAAGAGGCAGCATAGAAAAGAACACTCGAGTGGTCTGGAAAGAAAAAGGGGAGACATTATTTAACACATACACAGCTATCTATATTCCCTCACATTTTTTCCTCAGAAAAACGGCTATGGCTTCTGGGTGTAAGTGAGATCCTAGCTGGGAATTTCTTGAAGAAATTTGTTCCCGGGGTAAAAAAGGAAAACATGGCAAGTGTAAACAGAGCAAGATAATGATGCAAGACCTAGTTGCAAAAATGAAACATCACAAGGAAAACTGCTTATTGAGAGAAAATGATGCGGCTTAAGATGTGGCTTTGGCTGAGTAGATCAACTGGTTAGTAATTTAAATAATTCACTTTGCAATGCATTATTCTTCAAGGCTCTCTCTATGCCTTTTAGTATAAGTATGCTACGATAATTAAATTCCCAAACTGTTTGCTTTGGTGGACGTTGCTAGAAAAAAAAAATTAGCTTAGTATACAGTACAGAAAGCTGTAGTAAGAGAAATCTAGAGTTGTCATTTTCTTATTTTATATTATATAATACATGTCCCTTATTTTGGAATACTTGTGTGTCAGACCACAATGGTGATGCCATAAATCTATTCCCTATTTTATTCCAGCATAACTCAACTTTTCCAAGGGAATCCCATCACACAGAGATAGAATCTTTCTAGTCCAGCACTCTTTAGTCCAGCTCTCCACATATCATGGGTGAGACCAAGTGTCCCATAAAGTTTGTTTGCAGCCACCAGACCTGGCTCTCAGCATTCTGTGCTGTTATTTAGCTCTAATTTACCTCTAAATGTCTTCTAAGAGCCCCGTAAGCAGTGGAAGTGTTGGTAATGCTGCAGACAATACCAACCTCTGGTTCAGCACAGGTCAATCCAGAGGATGCTGGACTAGAGGGGCTCAATCTGTTCTTGTTTTCTCAAAAAACAGAAATGCAATGAAGTTTACACCAAAATTAAGTGTACTCTAGCTAAGACTGACTGTGCTTTTTTCGATAACATGATTTAAATCAAAGATTTTGTTGGTGATTTAAATCAATTATTTACATCTCTTTCATTTAGGCCAGCGGTTCTCAAACTTTTTGGGCTCCAGAGCCCATTAAATACATAGAATCATAGAATCATAGGACTGAAAGGGACCTCGAGAGGTCATCGAGTCCAGCCCCCCGCCCTCAAGGCAGGACCAAGCTCCGTCTACACCATCCCTGACAGATGTCTATCTAACCTGTTCTTAAATATCTCCAGAGAGGGAGATTCCACCACCTCCCTTGGCAATTTATTCCAATATTTGACCACCCTGACAGTTAGGAATGTTTTCCTAATGTCCAATCTAAACCTCCCCTGCTGCACTTTAAGCCCATTACTCCATGTCCTGTCCTCAGAAACCAAGAGGAACAAATTTTCGCCTTCCTCCTTGTGACACCCTTTTAGATATTTGAAAACCACTATCATGTCCCCCCTTAATCTTCTTTTTTCCAAACTAAACAAGCCCAGTTCATGAAGCCTGGCTTCATAGGTCATGCTCTCTAGACCTTTAATCATTCTTGTCGCTCTTCTCTGTACCCTTTCCAATTTCTCCACATCTTTCTTGAAATGTGGCGCCCAGAACTGGACACAGTACTCCAGCTGAGGCCTAACTAGTGCAGAATAGAGCGGCAGAATGACTTCACGAGTTTTGCTTACAACACACCTGTTAATACAACCTAGAATCATATTTGCTTTTTTGGCAACAGCATCACACTGTTGACTCATATTCAACTTGTGGTCCACTATGACCCCTAGATCCCTTTCCGCCATGCTCCTTCCTAGACAGTCGCTTCCCATCTTGTATGTATGGAACTGATTGTTCCTTCCTAAGTGGAGCACTCTGCATTTCTCCTTATTAAACCTCATCCTGTTTACCTCTGACCATTTCTCTAACTTGCTAAGGTCATTTTGAATTATGTCCCTATCCTCCAAAGAAGTTGCAACCCCACCCAGTTTGGTATCATCTGCAAACTTAATAAGAGTACTCTCTATCCCAATATCTACATCATTGATGAAGATATTGAACAGTACGGGTCCCAAAACAGACCCTTGAGGAACTCCACTTGTTATCCCTTTCCAGCAGGATTTAGAACCGTTAACAACAACTCTCTGACTACGGTTATCCAGCCAATTATGCACCCACCTTATCGTGGCCCTATCTAAGTTATATTTGCCTAGTTTATCAATAAGAATATCATGCGAGACCGTATCAAATGCCTTACTAAAGTCTAGGTATATGACATCCACCGCTTCTCCCTTATCCACAAGGCTCGTTATCCTATCAAAGAAAGCTATCAGATTAGTTTGGCATGACTTGTTCTTCACAAACCCATGCTGGCTATTCCCTATCACTTTATTACCTTCCAAGTGTTTGCATATGATTTCCTTAATTACCTGCTCCATTATCTTCCCTGGGACAGACGTTAAACTGACCGGTCTATAATTTCCTGGGTTGTTCTTATTCCCCTTTTTATAGATGGGCACAATATTTGCCCTTTTCCAGTCTTCTGGAATCTCCCCTGTCTGCCATGATTTTTCAAAGATCATAGCTAAAGGCTCAGATACCTCCTCTATCAGCTCCTTGAGTATCCTGGGATGCATTTCATCAGGACCTGGTGACTTGCTGACATCTAACTTTCCTAAGTGATTTTTAACTTGTTCTTTGTGTATCCTATCTTCTAAACTTACCCTCTCTCTGCTTGTATTCACTACGTTAGGCACACCTCCAGACTTCTCGGTGAAGACCGAAACAAAGAAGTCATTGAGCATCTCCGCCATTTCCAAGTTCCCTGTTACTGCATCCAGAAGATCAATGCAGAAAATATGGAACAATTTGCCCATTTTTAAGAAAAAGTTGAGACACTTAAGTAGCAGGAGGGCTTAAATACAGAACTGTCCTTTTAAAAATGAAATGTCTGGTCACCCTAGTTTTAATGGGGAGAAAAATAAATGTATCTTTCTAGCAAAAAAGAGCACAGGACTTACTTACAGTATGGCGGGGGGGGGGGCTTTACTCTAGGAAGCAGTAACTCTGTAAAAGATGTTGGGGTCCTGGTGAATAAGAAGTTGAACATGAATTCCCAGTGCAATGCTGTTGCCAAAACATTAATTTGATCAGAAAGAGCTTTAATGGCACATAATGCAGCTTTAACAGAAGATACTTTTGTTTCATGACTGTGATAACTTGGAAAATATTAATCAAGAGAAATCTAACAATAACTGTTTTTAAAAAAATAGAATGAAGCTGTTTGTGGTTCTAGGATTTAATAAGCACAGAACTGAGATACCGGAAAGCAATGGGGAAGGGGGAACCTTTAGGTACCATATTTCAGTGTTTCTCAAGGACCATTCTGTGGACCACTGACTGTTCCCAAGGTCTGCCTCATCCAGTTTAGGAAAGCAATAACCTGGACCTTGATATCAAAAGGTTGAGAAACATTACCACATTTGAAAGAAAAGACAATACTCAAGATGACAGAATACCTTGGATATTTTAGTAGAATAGATTCCAGTGTATTAGTTAGAAAGAGGGAATGGAGAGCACAGAAACTCATACTTTCAAAATGGAAGTTGCTCAGAATTTAAGGAGGTGGGTACATTGTATTTGAGTTAGATTCACAGAAAAAGTATTGTAATTGAATAGCTGGAAAAAAATGCAGATACTCACTGCCTGAGGGCAGGACCTAAGGCAGGGGGAGTGTGTGAAAAGGGTGCTAAGCATCTGCCTGGGGAAAAGCTGCAGAGCCTACAGGGCTTGGCCATAAACAGGCTGGAAAAAGCTTCTTCACCAACACTTCAGAGCTTAGTTGAGGGACAGAGAAGTTTCCCTATGCCAGTAGCTTTTGCAAATGCAGGGCTTGGCTCTTGCTGGCCAGCCTCCAGCCTGAGGGTCTTTCCAGGGATGTCAGCCCAGCCAGAGGCAATGAGGGAAGAAAGGAGCCTGCCAGCCAGGCTGTTGTTGAGCTGAATGATCTGACCAGGGTACGGCTCTCCACAGAGTGCTGGGAGCTGCACCCTGCTAGAAGGGATATGGCAGAGCAGCAGGGCTGAGGGGGTAATGTAAAGGACCTGTGGGGGAGCAGCTGAGGTGACACGTAACCAATCAATGCCTGACTGCTCTCACCAGCCACTGCAAGCAGCGCACGGAGTGATGGGGCTGAGGCCTGCTTGCCAAGAGGAAGAACGCAGAAGGGACTGCACTGATGAAGCGGCTGGCCATGCACACTGCAACTTTGCCTACATTTTGAGATCTATCCACTGGCAAATATTAAATGGATTTAAAACTGGCCATGTTAATTTTATATCATGCTAGATTTTTCTTAACCAAAATGTACAGCAGTGTGTGTCAACCATTTTTTATAAACTTCAGGGGAGCAGCCAAGTTAGTCTATAAAGTACTACCAAACCATTTGTTGTTTTTTTAAGTGTTTTTTATGAAGTACCCGTTTTTCAAAAAAATTATAAGTACCCACTTTTTTTAAAAAAATTATAATATCCCCAGTACCTACAGTTTTCAGAAACACAACATTTTTTTCTACAATTGCACCACATTTGTTTAAACAACTTAATCGTAACCGGGAGGGTGATGAAATTTTTCAGGGAAAAAGTACAAACATAATAAAGTGCAGGAAAACTTAAAACAAAAATTCAGTTTTCTTCAAATTTCAGTTGTGTTGATGTACCTCCCAGACTTCTCTTGAGTACCCCTAAGGGTACTCATACCACTGGTTGAGAAACACTGTTGTACAGTATCAAGATTGTACAGTAGATACCACTCACCACCTATCTAATCACTGTGATCTCATGATAGCTCTACTGATAGCGAGACAACTCTTTCATCATCTGGAGCCCTCAGGTTTCCTTTACCTGCCTCAATACAGAGTTCAGCTTAAGTTCAATATTGAAATTGCACTTGTCCCACGGGTTGAAATTCTCCTTTTATGATGGACAAAGGTTGTGTGTCCCCAGTAATACTCCTGAGGGAATTCTGCACCATGACACAAAGCAGAATTTTGCAGAAATTAAAGCAGTGCACACTAAGGATGTTAAATTGCAATTACCTAGCATGGTAAGATCAGTCCCACTCCTGGGTCCCTGACCCCTGTTCTGCCCACTATCCCACAGTTTAGGGCTGCAGCATAAGACTCACTCCTTAGTTTCAGTGATAGAAATGTCATGCAAGGCACTACATTTAGCCGTTTGGAATGGAAATCCATCAACCATACGAAGAAACTTGCACAGATACAGACAGACATCATCTTTCTATCCAAGTGCAAGAAGATGGACATCATACCCAAAGGACTGAAAGTGAACAATCCATTAAGATCAACATACTGCACTGACTACAGTGAAAGACACTGCCCCACACTATCCAAGAAATTAAGAAATCACCTGATAAGTATTTTATACAAGAAACAGAAAACCATCAAAAATGACATTTCTAACTTAGATCGTCTCATCTGAAGACAAACATCCACACCGACTGACTCCTTAGTTTTAGCGCTTGACCTTCTGTCCCTCAGCTTAAACAATTGGGGAGGGAGAGGCAGAGGCACAGCAGGAAAACAGTGCAGGTGGGGACTGATGGAGTCCCCGCTTGCGCTGGCTCCCACTGGGACACTTTAAGACTGCTTCAGTCCCCATTTGCACCATTTCCCTGCTGTGCCTCTGCCTCTCCTGGCCTCCACAGGGATGGTGCTAGGAGGGAACCTGCTTTTAAGCTGGGCTGGGTCGGGTCCCCCCCGGCCTCATTGCCTCTCTCGGATAGAGGTAGCAAGGTGGTGGGGGAAAACAACTAATCAAGTCACTCCTTGATTCTATGCTTATCGGATGGTCAACTAATCACTTACATCACCAGAGCACAGAGGATTTCCTGTCCCTCACAGACATGCATTAAGAGTGATGCTGACCACTGTGTTAAGGTTAACTGGACCCAGCAACACCCACTTCACACATAGAAGACACTGGGGGAGCTAGAGAGTCACTTGGGGCCTGCTACTAGACTATTTGTTGTTTTTAAGGGGTTTTCTGAGAAGGAGAAAGACACTCCCCACATTCCTCTTGCACACCGGAGGGGCGGGGAGGGGAGAGTCTAGTAGATTTGGCTTGCTTTCCAATGCTGGGGGAAGCCCTGAGCCTGGGGGTTTTAGGCAAGGCAGGGGCTGCATCTGGCCCCCAGGCCTTAGGCTCCCCACAACTGGTTTATACATAGGTGACAGTAGGAAATTGTGTTTTAAAACTAGTTCTTAGATTAACTTTTTCCCCAATAAAAGCAAATCAATTGCCTACTTTTGCTCTTCCTCTCACTCCCCAGGACCACGCCAAATGTTGCTGCTCTCTCCTGTCAGCCCCTCACTGCAGCCCGATCCCCTTCACTCTGGCCAGCTCGTATCCCAGAAAGTCGCTCCTATTAATTCTTCTATGTGGCAGTGTGCCCGCGGCTCCTCCTCTCCAGCTACTTTTTTATGCGCCTCGGGCTATTCCCTGTCGCCAAGCGCCCCGCGGACTCTGGGGAACCGGAAGCACAGGGGAGGGCACGACAGTCATTCCTCAGCAGCGCCCCAAATCTGCTGAGGCAAACGGCTCCTCTTTGCAGGTAAGACAAGGCAGCGGCGGGGTGCAGGAACGGGGATCCCCGAACTCCGCGCTGACCCGGGGTAGGCAGGGCCCCCAGCCGGGCAGGGGACGGGGCTGCAAACGCCGCTCTGGCCCGAGGAGCTAGCGCCCCTCGGCCGGGCAGCGGGGGCTCGGAGCAGGGTCCCCTCACAGGCGGCCCTTGCGGGCGTCCGGGACTGACCGGCCGGACCAGCACCCGCCCGTAGCCCGCCCTCACTTACCCGTGCGGGGAGCCCCGGCTCACCGCGCTCACGGAACCCCGCGAGCGCCCTCAGTTCCGGTCTCAGGTGCCAAGCACCGCCTCCGGCCACATCAGCACCGGAACACACCGCAGCTACTTCCGGCCTCCGAATTGGCCTAGACAGCCCGCCCACAGGGCGATAGTCGTAGCCGCCTGCCAATCACAATGAGAAGTTTGAGGCGTTGCTAGGGTTACAGTTACACAGGGCATGAAACCACCAATCACAAGAGAGCGTAAGGGGCTCCGCCCACTAATAACACAACAGCCAATCCGCAGCACACCTGTCTGCTGGGCTTTGACGCAGCGCGGTGCGGGCCG